TTGAAACTTAGCAACACACAGAGAGTTTATCATCATGTATTCATCATCACGTCCCGTTGTCTTTGTCTCCTCTGCCTAAATAACTAGGTACCAATAAACTATGAGCTATAAGCAGTCACTGCTAGTGGTACATAATGGAAGTACATCAACGTATAGTATTGGCAATTTACCTGCAGGTTGATTAAAACTAAGGAGGAAGCACTTGCGGCTTTTGAGGTAAAAGTGCCAGTAAACTGCCAGTCTTACCCCCAAATTCCTCTCTATTTTATCTGAGTAAATAAGTCACTGTCGAGAACACTGTGGTTTCCTGATTAATTAGGGAAACCCCATCAGTAAGTTTGGTTTATTGGTTTATCTTTTATTCGTGGGGTTGCAGATGATAGATTTCCAAGACATCACTGGAAAAAATGAAGTTGAAAGTATGGAAGTTCATCTTCTGTAGTTTTAATGTGTTGGACTGGTTGGGCTGGTTGAAAAAATGTTATGAAGGACATTGTACTGATGATCAAATATTTGCATTTTTTTAGTTATTAATTATAACAGAGCTATAGTGGATCTATTTACTTGTCTCAAACATATGTATTAAAGTTTCACCATATCAAAAATTAGAAATCATACATCAGGCCCTCCACCAATTAAAAGATTTTTAACAACAATTAATTGGAGTGTTTTTACTTGCCTTTTGTTTTCCAAGTTCAAGGGTTTATATTTTTCTAGTCTTTTCTCTGTACCTTGGAGGACTGTAAGTGTTTTTAAGTGAAAGCTGAAGGTCTCTTGATCATAAGACTCAAATCAAAAGTTCACCTGAAGCCAAGGCTCCATTGAGCCAATGCTGTTAAGGCACTCCAGCTTTGGTAGTCAACGGCGTACAAGGCAATGACATAGCCAGCATCATTTTTGGCTACCTTTGAGTCTCCAGCCCAAATAACTGTGTACCTAGTTAGTGCTTGGATGCTTAGGCTGTGAACTTTGGAGTGAGTCTGGAGCAAGACTTTAATTCATGCCTTGGGAGCCATCATGAAACACCTTAATCATAGTCACCACACTACTCGCAGGCTTCAGTAGCTAGAACTATTAGAAACACACAGCTAATACATGAGCCAGCAAAATAATGGGAGCTGGCAGCACTAATGAAAGAATACAAGGCTGTGTGGCTATATTAAGATTATACAGAAAAGTAGTTTAAAACACATTTCCAAACAAGTCATTTCTTCCTTCACCCCTGCTAGGGGTCAAAAAGTCTCAGCTGGAGCTGTCTGTGGCCCAGTACTGAAATCTAGGAGGGAAAAGAAAGTGTCTGAGAACCAGACAACTATAGCATGGATTCAGTTCTGTTTGGTCTACAACACTAAGCATCCATTCAGGCAGTCACATCCTATTTAGAGTAAAGAACAAGGGGCAAAGTTTTCTTATTGGACCAACTATATAGTTTGGAGAGATGTTTGACAAGCTTTTGGGCACAAAGCACCCTTCTTCAGGTATGAGAAAGAAGCAGACACAGGCTAAAGTAAGTAACAAGAATTGTGTTTAACTCCATGTTAATGAAAGCTGTCATATAAGGAATGAAGAATGGCTGTGAAGTGTAGCATCTGAAGTTGAATATATAACCTAATTATATAGAACAAGTCCATTCAAAGGGAACATTATTACCCATGGAGGTTAGTAGAAGCCACAGGTATATTGCAATGATGCATAAAGCCACTGCCTGTGGTTAGCGCATTGTTTTTAGCATCCAGTAAGGTTATGGATTTTTATTCCCAAGCCTGCTTTTGAAGGTATTTTATAGATTTCCCTGGAGTAGGATGACTGAGGTCAGAAAGACCAATGTAGGATCAATGAATTCTGGTGGTTTGTTGTGGTTGTGCTGTTGATTGTGATAGCAGTGGAGGTATATTGACAGAATAACCACTGCCCTCTGACCTCACAATTCTTGTGCTGAAGGGACAATCATGTTCCTGAACAAACACAGGGGATTTTATCTGCAAATAAAATTACAGACAGGGAAAAGGTCCAAGATTGGAGCCATCAGTCCTCCATAAAAGAAGGGGTGAATGAAAGATTCAGGGTCCTTTTCTTCTCTGACTGGCTTTGTGTCTTCCTTACACGTGTGCCAGTCAAATGCAGGGGGTGTGTCATATGCTTCCAAATTAGAAAAGTATCATTTTACACAGGGGCAAATGAGACAGAAAGTGCAAAGCAAAAGGGAACGGGCCTCAAAGCCTTCAGCAGAAATGAAAAAAGGGGTCAGTTTTGACCTAGGACGAGAGAGTGAAGGCAACATTAGCTTCTTGCTTAGAGGGAATGAATGGTAGAATAAGAAACAAGTTCCAACAGAATGAGGTAAGTTCAGAGGAGAGAGATTCAACAACCAAGATGTCAGCAGTTAAATACTGAGAAAGAGAGGTGTTGCATTGCTTTGAAAAAGTCTGGATCTTCAGTGTCTTTTGTCAGTCTGAGGAGTTTCTTCTGGAAGCAGTGGATGGAAATGGAAGAGAAGAGCTCTAGACTCTAACTAAAGCAATACATATTGGATATAGGACAGTGCTTAGCCACTGGAGAGGAGTTCAAATAAGGGTGTTTCATACCCAAGTTCACCCTTTTAATTTTTGCTCCACTTTTGTCTTCATATGTTGTCCCTTTTGCCAAACACTCTCTTTCCTTCTGTGGCCTGTCTTCTCTTCAACACATTCTTCTGTAAGGCTTATGGTTTCACCTGCCACATGAAGGAGCACTATCACATTATTTATAAGTATTATACACTATACACACTTGAATAGCCTTATGGTAAAGTCTATCTTCTTGTCACTTTCCATTTTTCAACTATACTGTCTGTCTAATCACATTAAAGGTTTCCTAGGACAGGGACAAGGGCATGCTCCATTTTTTAGTGAAGCAGCACATGTGCTATTGGTTTCTGGGTAATCACAGAAGTAAAACCAGTTGAGAACCAGGGAAGGAAGATGGAGTACTTGATTTTAAAGGACAAGAATAGATTCAATGTGACAAGTACTTGTGGGAATCAAGAGGTGCACTGAAGTTATTTAGGTGAGGTGAGGGTCATGGATATTTTCTGCAATAGTTTCTGCAATGAGGTATCTTTGACCGACACAAGACTGTGGTGGTTGGTGATAGGAGACACTGGGCTATGCAGGGTCTACCCCTGTGTCTCAGTTTATTACAGAAAGTCTAGGCATATATCAGGGACAGTGCCAAAGCCAGCTTCTGTTTTTGCCAATGGAAAAATCAACCAGGCCTTCTATTTCCTAATCCTGGCTTCCTTTTTCTAGTCTATGACTTTGATTCATGGATATTAAGGGCACCTACATATGTGCCTGATGCTTGCTTTGAGGTGTGCTAATTAGCACGTATCAGAGCAGATTCAATTAACTGAGTCTGCTCTGACGTGCTAATTAGTGTGCCTCAGAGCAGGCATCAGGCATGTGTACAGGTGCTAATTAGCACGCTCCAGCATCCCTGCACTTCAAAATGGTGATGGGGGCACTTTACAGCTCATCAAATGAGCTTTACTTAAAACACCCCCATGCCATTTTGAAGCGTGGGACGTTGAATACACAAGATACTGTGGATGCTTTAATTAGAGCCGCTCTGGAGAGCTACTTTAATTAAAACGCTCCCCCACCCTGGAGCATATGTAAAGTTGCCCTACGTTCCTCCCCTCCCCTTTCCCAAAGTTACATAAAAATAAAACTTAAATGACTTATCTCCTTTTTGCTCAGCTTGTCTCTTTTATCTTGTACTTGCCAGCCCTTCAATTAGCTGCATATGTGTGCAGCTCTGTAGAAGTTGCAGAGCTGCTCTTTGCATAGTTTGCAAGCTTCTCATGGCTTGGGCTGTTTGCTTTTTGTTACGTGTACACACTGTGGGTGTCTAACAAAAAAACCACTCAGCATTTACATCAGTGCCACGTCCCATCCTCACCATCTGAGTTAGGTATCCCGACTTCACAAAGAGTACAATTCCCCCTTAAATGCACTTTTTTGGTTGTTGCTGGTTGTTTGAGCTCTGTGCAGCATTTATGCCCTGAACAGCTTGTTATAGCTGAACAGAATGAGGAGCGCGGGGTTTATTCTAAATGTGCATGAATGTGAAATTGTTTGATGTAAATGATGTTCTGTTTGGCACACAGATTGGTTTTGTAAAATAGGGATCTGGGGGAAAGAGGGATGCAGTAAATGAGGTCTTACCATATTGCTTACAGTTGGATCCCAACCTGGCAAAGAGAACTGCATTGCTTTGTCTGGAACATCATTGACTTCTAAAGGACTTCAGGCTGTAGCAAGGGCCCACTGACTCAGTTCTCTTTATCGGATCCAGTTGTTAGATTTGGAAGCAGTGACAGTCTCTTAACTGCATATGTGCACAGCAGCTAGCCCAGGGAGGTTTTAGTATTGATGAATGCTGCTTGGCACTATAGAACTACACATAATAAGTTAGAATAAATCTAGAAAGCATTTATAAAACTGAAACAGGCCTACAATCAATCCTGCTGATTTAGCAGGTGTGTTACGATCAAGACACAGGTCACAAAACCCATACACTTTGTGGTTACTTTTGGAAAAGAGCATTCAGGGTTCACAGGTAGGTAAAAGCCCCTTTCTATCTCGTCATTAAAAATGGGGCTATTTTATAAGAAATTAAAGACTACAAAGCCCTTGAGGTTGTTCTGTGGGTTTTGTGGTAGCTAGGTAGTTCTCAGAAGAGGATACTGGAAAGTAAGAGACTTGCTGATGTCATTTTTAATTCACCACCAGATTCTCAAAAAAAAAACTTTGTCACGGATGGTTCTATATAAGGCGCATCTATCCTCCTTCACGGCACAACGAGAATCAACGCAAAGGTAAGAGTTTGCAGTCTACTTTGATTACCTGCTTTGCTTTCCCAGTGCTTGTCTCTCTCTTCTCATGGCTGTATTTTCTCTCACTGGTATAGAACGCTGTAGTTGTATGTCCAGTTGAAGTCACTACTTTGGACTGTGAGCCATGCTGTTCCTGCAGAGTTGGATGAGGTGCTCTCTGGTCTGGATCCTCTTTTGCTGCTGCCTTCCCCTCATTCTCCTTGCTGTTCCTATGCCTCCAAAAGGAGCAGGAGCTACCAATCATGTCTGCAAACTTGAAAAGATCTACTTTCAGCAGCCCTACATCAGGAATCGCACCTACACCTTGGCCAAAGAGGTACTGTAACTTCTCTGTCTCGCTCTTTCATGGTTGTACCTGAAACCTCATTTCCTTTTAGTTCTCAAAAGGCTGTGCTCTACAGCATGTCTCTTCCTTTCTGCTTTCTGGGCCTCTACTCCACAGGTCCAGGTACTTGTGTCGTGGTGGTATATTTTCTTCATGCAGGTAGTCTGCTGTCTGCTTTGTACATAGAAAAAAGAAACCGCAACCTACTGAGGCTCCCTCCACTACCTGTGGAGGGGTAAACCATTGGTGAAAGGCAGCTTACTTCTAAGAAGCCTCTGTGCTGTGTACTGTACTCACTTCCTCCACTTTCTATGTGACCAGCAAATCTTGAAACAAGTGTTTACATTTCTCTTTCTCTCCAGCCGCATTCCAAGTTGGGCCCCAACATGACTTTGGATATAATTAGTGAGCACTTCATACTCTCCAGTCAACCTTTCCTTATTCTTCTTTTGTGATGGGTTTGGCACTTTCTTTGAAATGCATAGCCTCCCCTTTAATATGTAGTCACTGAACTCTGGAGTAATCACTCGAAGTATCATGTCAGTTGTAGCATCTGGACTATTACTGTAGAATACTGTAAATTTTTTTACATTCAGACTTCTTTTGGTAGCTGATGTTTCCTCTCTCCTTCCTAGGCCAGGCTCCTGGACCAGGACACGGAAAACAGGTTCATTGGACAGCAGCTCTATGTTAATGTCAAGGTGAGGTTAACACACACACTTTGGGTATGACAAACTCCCTGCCTTTTACCCAATACTGTACCTAGACTCCTGGCAGCCCCGGGCAAAATTTTAGTATCAGGCACGCCTTCGCCAGAGACAATGATAATAATTTAAAAATTACCATTTTCGGGCCCCCTTTCTGTCCAGGCTTGGGGTAGCTGCCTGGTTCACCCATGCCTGTGTCCAGCCCTGCTTTTACCCCAAGCAGCATTTATTGTCATGGTATTTATTGTGATGCTCCTGCTTATACTGGTATTTTGCAGGAAAGCAATCGCTGCTATGTGATGAAGAGTGTACTGGAGATCATAATGAAAGAAGTACTGTCCAATCTCAAAAATAAGAATCCACATATCCATGAAGTGATACACTTCCTGGAAGTCCTGAGGTTGAAGCTACATGGCTGTGTAAGTACTGCAAGCATGTATAGATTCTGGCTGCTCCCAAACTCAGATTTTAAACTCCCTTGAGCCCTCTTTTTTACCATTCCTATCCTTGGATTTCCTCTTAAGTTGCATTCCAGTTATCAAATGTCTAGCAATTAGCAACATGTGGTAGACAGGTGAGGAGCCCACCTACTTGGTTTTGAAATCAAAGGAAACCTCAGATCAAGATATTCAGATTTAGGTTGGTGAATCAAGCAGGGTAATAAAAAGGTGTGAAAAAGAAAAACCACACTGTTATATGTATAATTTACCAACCAAACCCTGGTATGTTTTCTTTTTCAGAAATTCTCAGGACACCGAGAGCATGTTGAAAGGAACCTGGCAGAAATGAAAAACAGAATGAAACAGGTATGTTTATTTTCAAATATTTAACAAGATCAGTGCCAAGTAGCTGTTATACAAATCACTTACTTGCTGCAGTAAGACTAGCATATCAAGGAATAGATTTAGCTCGTCCATTGTTTTTCACTGCTGTCCCAATATTCTTTCTGAGTCTGATCCAAATCCCAGTGTAATCATTTGGGATCTTTCTGTTGAGTTCAGCTGGCATTTTTGTTGTTTAATCTAAAACTAAGAAGTGAATGTAGAAGAAAATTAGGGTCAGATCTTATTGTATATATGAGATGACTAAGGCTTTCCATAGTCTAAGTATCTACATATATAACCTATTCCACACTGCTCGAGTACTAGAAGAGCAATTGAAACTTCTACTTCTGAACACATTCACCTTGGCTTTAAGACAAAGTCACAAAATGTGGTGAAGAGGAAAGATCCAACTACCTTTCATATTAAGTTTTTCAGTGATCTCAAGCAAGGTGGAAAAAAGATTGTACTTATATACCTAAGTATTACTTAGATGCCTAACTGGACTAGAACATGGCTGGTAGCTTTGAAATAAACCTCTGAAAAGGAAATAAACCTCTGAAAAGTAATTTTTTGGTAGGATCAGGACCCATATTTGTTAATGATGTCCCATGGCAACCTGGAACTTATGAGATTATAACAACTTGTCTGCTGTAGTAAAAATATGTTACAGAAAACCACTGCAATTTTTAACTCTCTTAAAAGGCAATAAGTACAGTTTTTCGAAGCCAAGAACTTCCTCCATCAATTATTACATGGTTGTTCTAGTGCACAAGTTGATCTCTTACTGGAAAAGAGATATATGACTGGGTTGTTTCACTAGGTAGAAGATCTGTTAGGATTATAGGGAAGTAGGGCTGAAAGGTCATCTACTGCAGCCCTTCCTCTCAAGGCAGGATCATCCCTGACTAACCCATCTAGCCAAGTGTTGTCTAACCTGCTCTTGAAAATTTCCAAGGATGGAGGTTTTACACAGGGATAGTGTTCTCAGAGGCTGTAATATAATTATCCTAAACAACCACTCAGAATTATTCTGAGGCTCTTGTCCATTTTGTGAAATTAGTATATTAGTTTGATTCATTTCTAGAGTAATTCAAAATGGATCTGGTCAAAGTGTTAAAATACAGATTGTAGGTAGCATCCCAGCAGTGGTGGGATTTGGACAGTTTGAGATTTATTGACTTTGATAGAATGAGTTGTAAGAGTAAGGTGAGTAGGAGCCGTGCCTTATTTCTACCTTCTGTGAAATAATGAGGTAGTAAAGAAATGTCATATATTTAATAGTAAAGCATTTTCTTGTATTTTTTGTAGCTGGGAGACAATGGAAAGAACAAAGCAATTGGGGAACTGGATTTGCTCTTCGATTACATGGAAGATGCATGCACTGAAGGACCAAAGAAAGGAGGACACAAGAAGAACCACTAAAAGCGTGTGCGCAGTTTTTTTAATGAGCTCAAGGAAACTACTGTGATGACACAAGTTATTTATCTATCATGAAAATACACCTGTAGGATGAGTAGCTGCTTACCTGGGGAGGTACAATAGGTTACATTAACATTTTGGACATGGCACATGGCATGCATCACTGACTATATTGAAAAAGAAAACTGGTACACCACTTATGGTTCCAGTTCAGAAAAAACACATTCTTAAAAGCATGCTTAAGACCTAATGAAGTCAATGGGACTTATGCCCATACTTACATATTTTTCTGACCAGGGCTCATGGTCATAGGCCCAAATGGATCTTTTTTCTAGCTTTTCACTGATTCATGCCATGTCTGTGTCTTTACATTTGAAAATCACTCTCAGAAAATTTGCCTCTTTTTCTTCAGCTCCCCCATCTCTAGGAAGCACATATTTCAGATTTTTTTAGAAAACAGATTTCATGGATATTAATATTTAATGCTAAGTTATTTAAAACTAATAACTATACAGTGCCTTTTATTTATGTAAAGTAACTGAATAAATAAGTGAATTTATTTATGAAAATGTTGTAGAAGCTTTTACATGATGTATGATATAATTTACCATAATATTTATATAACATTGTGTTATTTGATATCTCATAAATTTTAATTTATTATAATAAATATATTGGTTTGCCAAATATTGCTGTTTCAGGAAGATTTTCTTTTTAACTTATAAATTAGGAAAACACTTCATGGCGTATTGGAGAAAGAAACAATAATTTAGTGGTAGTGTAATGTAACTTCATGGGAGATGCAGATTCAGGTCTTGGACCATGCTACTTCACTCTGTGAATTCAGCCAGAAACAATTCAGTAATAGCAAGGGAAGCAGGGTCCTCTGTACAGTGGCAGGCAGGTGGCACCTGATGAAGTGAACTATGATCATCGCAGATGAGGGTAATAGGCAGAATGACGGAACACTGCTGAAGCTGGGAGCTTCTGCTGGGAAGTGGAGGTTGGGCACATGGGACATTTCATTGAGTCTTCTCTGTGACAGGGCGATTCATGTGAGGGGGACGTAGACTTGTTGGAGTCACTTCACAGCTCTGCTGGTTGCAAGACAGCTGTGAATTCCACCTTGCTCCTTTGTCACATTTTAAGCTGGGATAGTACCATTAATCTCAGTCGAGTTACTCACCACTTACACTGGTCTATGTGAGTAGAGACTCAGATCTCCGAGACTGGTCCCTTCCTGTCTTTGCATTGTCAGCAGATCATTCTCTGACAGCTGAACATAGCCAACTGTTCTTTGTTTGATGTCAGTTTTTTGCCTCATATATTAACTTACTTAGATTTAAAACAATGGACATGCCTATTCCAGACTCTAAACCCTCCCATATTCAATCAGACAATAAATATTATTAAATTAAATATTAGAAATGTTGAAATACATTTTCCAGTAATGCAGCTGGCCACTTCTTCACACTCAGCCCTTTCCAGGACCTTCATTAGCAAATGTTTTATAGCATGGGTAGTAAACCATGACACCGGAGCCTTTTGGTCCAATGGAGAAATTTAATAGACCTGCCAGTTACCCCACATGCTTGAATTCCTCTGCTGACTGCAGCTGTAGCGGCTTGGCCTAGACAGCTATGGGGTTCCTGGTCAGCTAGGGCTTTACAGACACAACCAACACTTTAAATACTAGCCAGAGACTATCAGGCAGCTACTACAGACCCCTGAGCACCGGTGTTGCAGGCTCCCAGCAAGATGCCCTGTTCAGCCAGTGAGTCACTGTGTTATGTGTCACTTTCAGTCTCTGTATCACTAAAGAGCATACTCAAGAACTGAAGTGACTAAAACACAGATAACAATGATAAAGTCCATATCTGAAAGTATCTCACCCCACCTATATGGGAACAGGAGCCTCTTCCAGCGCTCCTACTTTTATGCACATCCTGCAGCCTTTCCACTTGATGGGGAGGCAGGTTACCAGTACCTCAAATGACTGGGACCCCACCCCTTATATGGTAAGGGTCCTCTTTGGGACTATATTCACAGGTAAAATGAGGTTGGCATTGATTAATGACACACTGGCCCCTGTGTCCAGTTCCCAGACAAGGGTTCTCCCTTTTACCATTATCTCAGTCCAGTGGGTGGCTGTCACCTCCTCTAGGTTTGTAATACTGTAGCAACAGGTATGCCCCTCAGAGTGGCTCAGGTCCCCCTCCCCATTGCTTACGGCTGACTGGATTGGGTTTGTTACTTAGCTTGGGGCAGTTGGACCTGATGTGGCCAGACTCCCCGCAGTTATAGCAACCCCTCTTTTCCAAATTGGGTGGTTTGTCCAAATCTGGGGCCACCTTGTGCTCTGCAGGAGGTAGCCCCCGTTCCTATTTTGGACCTGAGAGTCCTCATCATGGCTGCTGCCCCCCCTCCTGGGCAGTCTTTAACTTATATAGACCTTATGACCTCACTCCAGGGTCCAGTGGAGACTAGCTGAAGTTGGCTACAAGCCAATCAATTGGAAATGCATCACTGGTTGCTGGGTAGACAGACAGTGGCTTTTACCTCCCCTTCCAGCCATGAAATCATTGCTTAGAACAATGGAGCATTTAAGCCCCCCCAGGTGTGTGAGGTCAGTCATGTTGGCAAAAGGAGCAGGTTTCCCCCTCCTTCAGGAATGTATCCAGCTCAGGTTACAACTCAGGGTTACCTGAAGCTGATGGGAGCAGGGCTGTCTGCCCTCTGCAGTGACCATGCTAACCAAATTGCCAGATAGGTAATACACCTGATAGCAGTGTTTCGAGAGAGACTGAGATGGCATTCTGCTACAATCACATTCAACTTATCTGGGTTCATCCCAGCCAGCTTGTTCTTATAGAAGTCACAATCATGCCTAGATCCCACCTAATGTCTGCATAGACCCACACCATCATACCTAGACCTCTAAACTATGAACTAAAGTTCACATCAGATGAATTAGAAACATGCAATTAGGACCAGCTGCATACTGAAAACCCTAAACACCATTGATTCCCCACAGACCATTCTAATATATTTGAATAGGTAGTATGACAAAGTGATGTTCTGTAGCCCCCATGCATTTGAGAGTACTTCAGAAGAGAAGCAGCTAATCACAACTAATGTTGAGAAATCTTCAAGAGGAAAGAATGAATCCACTAAAGAATAGGTTCATCCACTCTTGCCATGTTCTGGAAGTGAGTCAGCAACACCTTGTAACCAAAAGCTAAATCTAATAATATTGGAATAGATACTTGTTTTTTTTCCCCACGTCCAGAAGAGGTCATTGATGCCTATACTCTTTATGCCCTTGGTCCTCTCAAGCTGCCTGTAATGATCACTCTCCTGTGGCAATTCATGACTGGTTGATCACCATGATGTCTCAGATAGTTACTGCTTAACTTTGTACAACTGGTCACACTGTGGATTTGTTTTTTAGAGTGGAATTGGAGGACTGGGAATCAGATGTTGTGAATTTCAGGTTTTATTATTTTTTGTATATATGAGGAATTATAATTTTTTTGTTTTTTGGAATTTTCAGCTTAGCTTCTGAACTGAAATTCATCATTTGCAAAACCCAAGTTTCCATGGCCTTTGTGATTCAGGCAAATCCATTCTCCAAGGTGCAGAGTGACAGCTGGAGGAGCCTAGCTCATGGAATGTATTTTCTATATCCTGCTGAGTATTGGTGCTGGTTTAAAAACATCTCTTAGGCACACTATGGGCAGCATTTCTTAATAATTTTCAAATAACCTAGAATTAGTAGGAATGGCATTTCTAATTTTTGCCTGGGTCACTCAATGTAAAATGTGGACAATAGGATGGGGTGGAACTGTCCAGCTGGCCAGCCAAAAGCAGTTAGGACAAGTTAGCATCCGGCCTAAGATAAAAGGAGTTATCTAAGTCCAGATCTAAACAATGCATGAGCTGAGTTAAAAGCCATATATCTTTTTTGTTGAGTTATGTAGACACCTGAGACCTTGTAGTCCTCTCATTCATATCAGTGAAAATTATATGTTAGTGGATTTACAACATATGTAACATTGGTATAACTGGAAGGAGAATCAGGACACTAAAGCTGAGCTAACATCGGCAGAAATGTTACCATAATTCCCAGGTCTATGAGTGATGCAACCATAAGGAAGATTATTGATATGGAAATGGATACAATTTCTCATAGAATCCTGAGGGAGTTCACAATGTAAAGGAATAGTTTCTGGCAGGTGACTCACCCATAATTAGAGAACTACTTAATTTGTGGTTTTGCAGTTTTCATGAAAACTGTGAAAACTGGTGATATCCACAATCACTGAGGAAAAGTCCATTGGCCACTATTTCCCATAAAATCAACCCCCGCTGCCAAAGGCATATTATTTATATAATACACTGTTTTAGAATCTCCCAATCCTTACCACGATACTTAGACAACACACTAATCCCTGCAGCCATTGTCACATGCTTGAGTCTTACTGACTGTCTGCAGTGATGGTGGGACCTCTCTGCCAATCAGAGATGAGGGGCAGGGCCACCAGGAAATGCCTACAAAACTTGCCCTTCATGTCACAAGCAAGCAGCAAAAATGGCTTTATCTCACCGCAAGTTAAGTAGGTCCCTACCGATAACATAACATCCTAATTCAAGGCAATCTGATAGCATTGCTAACAAACCACACACGGAAAATATATAATTGGTGAAATAGAAACTGTGGTTAGAGTGATAACAATTCTGTATCTATTATACATAGTTACCAACTTACACAGACACATCTATAATATTTTTTTGTGTGAACTGTTTGCTAATGTAGCTTCAGGGAGAGTTCTTTTTCTGTTGGTGGGAAGATTAAACTGCATTAAGTAGTAGTGGCATCTTGGGTGATAGAATCATAGACAGTGAGGGTTGGAAGGGACCTCAGGAGGTCATTTAATCCAACCCCCTGCTCAAAGCAGGACCATTTCCAACTAGATCATCCCAGCCAAAGCTTTGTCTAGCCA